CGTTTAATCATAACAAACTGACTTTCTATCTACAGAACTTGGGCACATTACTTTTTTATTGCTTTGTATTAAGGTCATATTTTCCCCTAAAATCTCAGAGAAATATTTAAAAATATATACTTGAGTCAAAAGCTTCTTACAAGCTAATTATGACTCATTTCTTTGTGGCGCAGAGTTAAATTACGTCAACTTCTTCTTGAATTCCGATACTCCTTTTCAAGCGTTGATCTCCTGTTTTCGTTAACCAGTAGTGGATTATGTTCCCAGAAGCCAGGTTCATCGCCAGCCCATCTTACCAGATAATTGAACTTTCCAGAGCGAATCGTTTTGTGAATCAAGATCTTCTCCGCCTCGAATATATCGCCTCGATCAATAGTAGCATATGTAGTATCTGTTTTGACCATTTTAAGATCGTTTGCCGCCTTTAGAGGGTATGCCCATTTCTTGAACGGATTTGGACTCGGTAGCCATCAATTCAAACAATTTTATAGACTGCTTTGCAGTATCGAGCAGCTTCTTTGTCAAGTGCATGCTTTTTAAGACGGTATAATACGCTTGACCCGACGTCAAACTCCTTTTCAATTCTTTCGGCTTCCACCTGATTATGACTCAGACCTGTATCCAATACTTTGCCTTTTGCCTCATTTGGGGTCATACCAATCGAACGATAAAACGTGATATTGTAGTTTTTGATATCATCAGTAATAAGCTTTTGCGTAATTCTCTTGGGGCACATTTAGTTTGTCTCTGCCTTAAGGTCATGTTGAATCGTTTAATTTTACCCATGATTCCGTAATCACCACGTTCGTTGTGGTAGTGCTCTAATTTGGAAAAATTCTTGAGCCTGTGAGTTCATAAGCTCTCTTTCATTATCCCTTATTGAGGTATCAACTTTGTGGAGACGAACAAGCGCTTTGAGCGCTGCTAACACAGTTGCTGCCGTCTTGTTTCGTTAAAGCTTTGCGTATCCTAGCCTTGAGTTGATGTTGATGGCAGTCAAAACTGGCCGTTTCTCCCAAAACGCAAGATAAATTTGCCACGAGTCGGGGTTACGCGAAGCTATATTGAAACCATTGAATCTCTTCTTTTGCTCCTAAAATCGTTGAATATTGATCTGACTCCCACACCAATTCTTTACTGTTTTGAAAGTTATCGTGGATTTAACTTCATAACCTTCTGATACAGAGCTTGTGCTCTGATATTTTTGGGTCATAGTGGAGGTTCTTAGTACGCGTCTATGATCTATATTTAAATTAAAAAAAGTCCCAGTGATTACCGGCTTAAATATCAAGTGCTTCCTTCGTGATACCATCATCAAGTCCTCGACGTTTACCATAGTAGTAGTTGAGTGCTGTTTTGTTCTGAGTGAAGGTGATAATAGACTTGGTTTCTTTTCGATAGTCTGCACCCCTTGTTTGTACCTTGTAGCGCGATGCGATCTTGTACGACAGTCTCAAACCCACCAGGATTAAAAACGTCATTGTTTCGACCCTTCGCTGCTGAATACCCTTCGCTGAAACTTTTACCTTGTACGATTTATCGGTA